CAGGAATCTGCGAGAGCGCTGTCTCTTTAAATATCCAAAATAGTCAAGCCGCTTTTTAAACCTACAAAATGGCGGCGCCCTCTGGACCAGCAAAAGTCCACAACTCAGCCCACCTTTCTCTTCACCTTCTCTGTTTGTTCCCCGGCCACCATGCACAGTCCGTGCAGTCCCTGGCTAGCAGGGTGATTTTTAAGTTAATGTTTAGGTCCTACCACCACTCGGGATTGTCCAAGCCGTTTGTGCCATCAGGGGCGTTCAGGTCCCTGCCAGGCCACAACTCCATATGTCTCCTTTTTTGGTATTTTCACAGAAATTCTTCTGCTAGTTGTGGTTTAGTCTCCTTCTGTATCCTTCCCTTCAAGGCTCAGCGGTCCAAGATTATCTTCTGTGTCTGTGTCAATTGGTTTCCCTTTTCTTTGTTGAAGAGGGTCTGTGCAGTCCTTCTGCCTAGTCTGCCATCTTGCCAGAACTCCCATAGTGTCAATTTTTTTGAGAGTCTTCCTCTTTTTAACTGGCCTTTACTTTACAAAGGAACTCTGGGAGTGCAGTGCCTGACTCATTTGACTGCAAAACAGAAGACTGGTGGTTCAAACCCACCAGCCACTCTTCAGAAGGAAGGTTGGGCAATCTACTTCCGTAGTGATACCACCTCAGAAACCCAAGGAGGGGTCGCAATGAGTCAGATCTGACTCAATGTCAATGTGTTTACTGTACAAAGCATGGTATCCTTCTCCAGAGACTGGTCCCTTCTGGTAATGTGGAAAAGGCATGAGAGACAAAGTCTGGCCATTCTCACTTTTAAGGAGCATTCTGCCTGTACTTCTGTATGAAGATTGTAACCGCTTCATGTTCAGCAGATAGAAGAGCATACTATTCTTCTTTCTGTAGAGGTAGGCTCTTTCTCATCTGATAACATTGACCGTGCTTAGGTGAGGGTATATGGATTTATGTTTGTTGAGGGGAGAAGTCAATAACAATTGGTGTATAGTTGCATCAGGTCTTGAAATTTGAGAATTGTAAAACGATCTAGATTGTATGGTCTCTGTCTCTCACCTGAGCTCTTTTCAAATTTTACCTTTGCTTATCTCCATGAAAGGGACAGAGAGGATAATAAAACAACTGAGCTTTTGAAAAATAGGTGACTGATATATAAATATTCATAATTATCCATAAGAATATTCTTTTTTCAGTGGGTGGACTGTTACCTCCTGATCGTGAGTTGTACCAGAAAATATAACTATCTTAGAGCCTTGGGATGCCAGTTTGTATGAGCCCTTGATCCTCCCATGGCTGTAAAGGGCAAAAGGGATACTGCCATCTGCAGTGTTTCCCAGTTATTAATACCTCATCCTGCATTCACCCTTTGCTTTATATGTTGTTGAGTGTTCCGGTGGGTCTTATAGAAGTAGGTGAAATTATTTGCTTATTATTAAATGATGATCTGAATTAGAGCATTTCTCTAATTTCTACTATGTTTTCTAACTGTTCTAACCCATAAAGAAAGAGACTGTAATTGGTCACAAACTGTGGACAGATTATTTCAGTGTGTTTGAAGTCTGTGAGATAGTGAATGTAGTTAGTGAAGAGATAAAACTGATGGCTACACTCTAGAGTAGACTTTGGTAGACCACAGAACCTAGTGTCAAATCCCTATAAATTCTCAATTTCTCAGGACTGTCTGCCTCATTCTTATACACAATGGAATACATGATACCTGCCTTGCTGATAGAAAACATGTGGAATGTTTTAGGACACAGTGGTCCTTGAGGATGTGGCCGTGGCCTTTAGCCAAGAAGAATGGGCTTTGCTGGATCTTGCTCAAAGGAAACTCTACAAAAACGTGATGATGGAAACCTTCAGAAACCTGGCCACCGTAGGTAAGAATGACATTTTTAAAATTCCTTTAATGAAAAATATTTTGCTCATCAACTTTGCTCTAGTGCTTGGGGTGAAGAGTGGGAATAAATTGTTAAGTAAAACAAGCATGATCCCTTGGTCTATGAAACTTACATATCCTAGCTCCCCCATGAACATAAAACTCATTAAAGTAAATGTTCACTTCTTTTGTGATTAAAAGCCCAGAGGCTCCTTAAAGTTTATCAGTGTAAGCACTGGCTTCAGGGTTCACTTCAGGACAGAGAGGTTTGTGTTGTAGGACCTTGTAGAGAGTTTTAGTGTGTTTATTACAAGTTTGACGTGATTATTTTGCTATAAATAAACTCATACCTGTCCATCTTCACAGACTCAGAAGAGCATAATTTTGGCTCAGTGTCAGAGAAATGTTCATTGCTCTGCACTGTCTTTACTCATGACATGCATGTCTCCCTGAGCACCATGTTAGCTATACCAAAAAACCAAACTCACTGCCATTGAGTCGGATCTGACTCATAGTGACCCCTCCTTGGGTTTCCGAGACGGTATCACTATGGAAGTAGATTGCCCAGTCTTCCTTCTAAGGAGTTGCTGGTGGGTTTGAGCCACCAGCCTTCTGGTTAACAGTCAAATGCCTTAGGCGCTATGTCACCAGAGCTTCTATAGTCATTTGTTTTCCAGAGAAGCAAGGAAGGTGGAGATAGAACTCATCTAGGGACACTGTCTAGGAGAACCAGGAAAGCAAGAATTTTTTGAAAGACCATCCCTGCATGGAGGGAATTATATTTGAATGGGTCAGCTATAAAGTCTCTTTTGGATTGAGAAAACAACTTCACGAATACTTAAGCTTCCTTTTTTGACTTTTGAAGTCCTCTCACACTTGTGGTCATTGAGACCCTTTTCGTCTTTCAATGTCAAATGTTTATTGTGTCCAGTAGCTTTCCATTTAGTTCTCGTAATCACAGCTATTTATATCACCATCATTCTCAGTCCTCATGGAAGTGTTTCCTTGATAAATTGGTTTTCATCATTACCAAAGTGCTGAAACAGCGAAATGTGGCTAAGACTTTTTTTGTTCACAGCAGCCATTTTTCAAATAATAATTCCTTTTCCTCTTGTTTCACATTGTGAACCTCAACTTGAATTATTGGGCTAGTCTCTCAAAACCTTAGTGATGGAGAAAAGTTATCCAGTGAACAAATAATTGTGCAGTTCACGAAGATGAACCCCTGGTCCTCTGTGTTAGGAGAAATCTCTGAATCACATGGCAATAAAGATCAGCATAAGAACCAGAAGAGACATTTGAGGTGAGTGTCATTCATACAAGTGAAAACAGTGCCTCAGGAGAAAGTGCAAAGGTGTCATGACATATTTACAAAAGGAAAAAAAAAAAAACCTACTAGCATCAAGTTATTTCTGACTCATAGCAACCCTGTAAAACTGAAAAAACCCATTACCATCAAGGTGATTTGGACTCATAGCACCTCTGTAGGACAGAGTAGAACTGCTCCATGTTTTGCAATGTCATAAATCTATACAGAAGCAGACTACCTCATATTTCTCCTTCAGAGGGGCTGGTGGATTCAAATTGTCGACTTCTTGGTTAGCAGCTAAATCCTTTATCGACTATGACAAAGCAATGCTTTATCCTTACATTCATAAGGCCTCTCTCCACTGTGAGTTCTTACATGTTGAGTGAGGGCTAAAGCCCGAATAAAGGCCACCAAAGCTCCTTCATGACAGTATATATCTTACATCCATCCATCCATCCATATGTATGTGTGTGTGTGTGTGTGTGTATATATATATATAT